GACATTGAATTAGATGCCGAGACTAATTAATGCGGCATTTTATTCCGACCAAAAATATTTTAGGTGTAAACCTCACCATCACAGTTAACATTAGTTCGCAAGAGCTGCCGAGACACCTCACAATCAACCCTTGCGAGTACATACAGCATTACAGTTGATAGATTATTATTATATCTTTAACCCGTAAGTAAGCGGAAATTCCGGGTCACTGTTCATTACGATATATTCGCGGGATGTTTGGGAATGGATTTGCTACGACACCCGCAAATAATCACTTTGGGCTGGACAAACATTAAGCCTCCATTATTATTTGAGTGCTAGCTCAGCCCAAGCATGCGTATAGAGGCTTCCTCATCTAATTTTAAAGGCTTCCTCATCAAATTTTAATATATAAGTTGAATTTATAATTCAATTCGTCAACTTAAAGATATAATAACTAATCCCGTTCATTTAAATCAAAATCCAAATTCAATTGAATTGGTGAATTCACGAATTGGATCATGGATCATTGGCAATTACCGTTTAGTACTTATTTAGTTAATATATGCATTTAATGTATTAGAAAATTATGTTTTGGTACCTAATTTTTTTATTATTATGATATTTTAGTATCTAACCTTTTCAAAATTTACATTGGTTCAAGACTTGAATATCATTTGGATTCATTGATCAATCCACCAATCGACATGATCCAATCCATGAATTTTAAATAGGGATAATATTTACATAGAGATTTCGTAAGGCCATCTAACTTTTACATAACATCTTAATCACATGTGATATTTTTTTAACTTGATTTTATGATTAGACCATAGTACAAAATATTTATGTAACACTATTTTCTAAATATTAACTGAAATTCATTTGTTATTAACTTTAATATTCAACATGTCATTAATTTGCATTCTGCTAAGATTTCGTGAGTAAATTAACTTTTACATAACAGTAATCAAACAGGACTTTGCTACGGTGACATGCATGTCATCGTAACTTGCACTTTTAGGTCGACCTTATATAGGATTAGATCGACCTATTATGACATTTCAATTTAGTGAGTTTCAACGACGCGGTTGACCTTTTATATAGCAAATGGTCGACCTCTTTGGGAAGCGATGTGGGTGGTTCTTTTGCTCGAACAAATTACGTTTCAAATAAACAAAATCACTCATAAATAATTATAACAAGGACTCATAACTTCATAACATAACAACTAAACAAACTAACAAGAAATACTATAAAACATAAATCATAATTGTTCACACATAACTAAAATCTAAAACCACATAATATCAATCCACAATCATTTTTAACACTTAACAATAAAAGCACACAATCTAAAATCATCGAGTTCCTACTCCTGTCCCCTCTCTCCCTCATCCACATTTTCTTCATTGGTGTTGCTAGCATTATGGTAGTCGGAGGTTACGGTGACATGCATGTATCTTCCACTGAAAGATCGAAACTCATCTCGCATCTCATTCACGGTCACCTGCAGTGTGCTCATCTGGGTGGTCATTTGCCCCATGTAGTCGTACATGCCAGTCATCTGGGTGGAAATCTGGCCCATGTAGTCGTACATGCCATCCATGGGCTTCCCAAGAGGTCGACCATTTGCTATAAAAAGCCAACCGCATCGTTGAACCTCACAAAAATGAAACGGCATATTAGATCGACCTAATCCTATATAAGGTCAACCTAAAAATGCAAGTTATTATGACATGCATGTCACCATAGGCATACCCAATCAAATATGAATATGATACTTTCTATAACTTTAATTTATTGTATTATGTAATATTTATGTAACAATATTCTATCGCAATTACATCAATGCAATACATTAAAATATATTACATAAAACTTTTAAGATATATTTATTTCTTATGTATTAATTAAACAAAAGTATTACATAGTCTTCCTTAAAGATTTAAACATAACATAAAGCTTACCGAAGTGTAATTATTTCATAAAATTAATAGAGGTATCTTACTAAATAATTTTATGGATAATTTAGTTTCAACTAAATAATTAATTAAATAAATGAAGTTTTGAATATAATTAGTTTCTTACCCCAGCGAAGTGCGGGCCAAAAATATAGTAACTAATTAATTAAGTAGCTCTTTTGAGTTCCCTCACTCTCACATTCATCGCCAATTCCAGACACACGCCTCTGAACACATCCGGCAACGGTCAAGTCCCATTGATCAATCTCAACCAAATAGCGATTCGACAGCCATCAACGGAGCAGGAGACGAGAAGGTCCAGCGAGAAATTCATTCAACGAAAGAATTGGAAGAGAGAGATCCATCGCCGCTACGGTTGGTTGTTCCGTCCCTCAATTTCATTTTGTTTCTCTTTGTCCGAGGTCCTTTTGGATGGATTTGATTTAGAGTCAGGTAATCTCTCTGGTTATCCAAACCTGAGTTCCTATATCACGAACACTTCGTTGTGTTTATCTGACGTTTTTCGTCAGTTTAATGTTCCAATTATTTGGACCTGTGGTTTATTTGGAAGTTTGAACTCGTTCATGGTCCATGGCGTCTCCTCTATTGTTCGGCACGTCAGTTTCGCCATTGTCATCAACACCAGAATGAGATAACCTCCGATCCGGTGGTCTTCCCTCCGGTTACTTTTCCGATGGCTCCCCGATTCCATTCAGTAACAACGCCTGAATTTGGGCTGCTTTTTTAGGTAAGTAACGTAAAACTTATTTGAAATTATTTCTCCTTCCTTTTTCTTTGTTGTCTTTTGGGATGAGATAGCATGCCTACCCATAAAAGGGTTGGAAAAATGAAACCCCTATTAATTATAGGTTTTTAAGGTAATTAATTTGTGTTGCATTTAATAATCTGTATGAATTAAAAACACATATTAATTACTTTCCTTTTTTCAGTGCACTGGTAGTTGTATCAGTGCACTGGTAGTTGTGTACAGGTGCAATGGTAGATGTATCAGTGCAATGGTAGTTCCAAAAAAGGAACGTAATTAATACGAGTTCAGTATACAGGTGCAATGGTAGTTGTATCAGTACAATGGTAGTTAAAAAAAGGAATGTAATTAAGATGAGTTTTTAATTTCCAAATATTATTAAATGCAACACGAATTTAATACAAAAAATAACTATAATTAATAGGGGTGTCATTTTTCCAACCCCTTAGAAGGGTTAGCATGCTAACCGATCCCTTGTCTTTTATGTTTTATCCCTCCATTAAATTGTGATTTGAGGGATCGGTTAGCATGCTAACCCTTGTATGGGTTGGCAAAATGACAACCCCTATTAATTATAGGTTTTTAAGGTAATTAATTTGTGTTGCATTTAATAATCTGTATGAATTAAAAACACATATTAATTACTTTCCTTTTTCAGTGCACTGGTAGTTGTATCAGTGCACTGGTATACTGAACTCATATTAATTACGTTCCTTTTTTGGAACTACCATTGCAGTGATACATCTACCATTGCACACTACCAGTGCACTGAAAAAAGGAAAGTAATTAATATGTGTTTTTAATTCATACAGATTATTAAATGCAACACAAATTAATTACCTTAAAAACCTATAATTAATAGGGGTTGTCATTTTGCCAACCCTTTTATGGGTATGCATGCTATCTCATCCCGTGATTTGAGGTTATAATTCAAAGCCTGCCATAACTTATCGTGTTTCCTTTTTGGATTTCAAGAAGTTGTCCCTTTTAATTGAGTAAGTGACGCCTTTTATTTAGTCCTATATTAATTAGGATCATTTACTTGCGTTGATATTAAGTTTGATTGATTACTTAGTTATTTCTTTGATATTAAGTGGTCCCATTTAAATGTGCTTATTTTATTTTCAAGTTTAAATTGAAGTCAGAATTAACATTGTGGCTTCAATGTATTCAATTTAAATTCATTACTTTCCTCCTTTTATGCTCATTCCCTTCCTTCTACTGTGGTATAATTTATCATTACTTTTCATAATTGTGGGATTTTTGTCTCTTTCTTCAACTCTTCGTTTACTTGTTGTAATTGTAGAATCAATGTTACCTTGCTTTTGCCGGTTTATTATGTTAGTTTGATTCAATTCAAATTGGGAGTTTGCATTTCTTACTAATTTTCAATATATTGAGTTTTCTATTATAATATATTCATTTTGAACTTTATGTGCGTTAAATTTATCCTGTTCAATTTAATTAATTTCTTTCTTATTAGAATTATTGGATGCCTCATGTAATGGAGTCATGGGTGTGGTTTTTCCAGTTATTACGATTAGTCTTAATGATAAATTTTATTATCTTTGGTTAGAGATTTCTAGCACTTTGGATCCCTTTTGGTTGTCTGCATTGCAGGGGAATCTTATCATAGTTAAAATACATGAAGGAAGTGCAATCGACCTCATCAGTCTATCAATGCCTCAGGGAGGAAGTCTTCCCATCCGAGCGCCGACTCCAAATGAGGGAAGTGTTCCTCTCTCTTTTCTCACTCCCTGTGTCAGTTTCGTGTCATTTTGCTCCTCGGAGTTTTCATAGAGCTGGCCACCTCGTGGCATAACAGGCTCTTTTATCGGGAGTCCGGTTGCATAAGGACTACCGTTCTTTATTATTTTGTGTTGTATAATGTTGTTGTCCGACCATGCCCTAGGGGCTTATCTTGGATAAAAAAAAAAATTAAGTAGCACTTTTCGAAACATAACTACTAAGAAAACGAAAAAACATGCCAATTGCACAACAAGCTTGGTTGCCACTGCAGAGTAGAACTTGTCCCCCTTGTTTGCCTGATGACCGCCACCACATCCTAGTTCAGCAGCTAACTGAGGGATGAACGCCTCGGACATCAAACTATAAGAGCGGTCCGTCATATTTTGGTTGTCCCAGAACATGTACTCGTTGGGGTTTCGACAATAAGGCGCCCTGGGGGACCCCACATATCGCCGTATGTAGACAATGCGTACCTCGGGAAACTCGGTCAGCAGCCGCCGGAGGCGTCGATTGTGGAGCACGACCATGGCTTTGATGGCGGTATCGCAGTCCGGTTTGGTGTGAACATTGCTCACCGTGCAACCGGCTTTGACATAAGCATTCATGGCCGCGAAAACATCGGGAATGAGCGCCTTCATTCGCTCGAGCGGCGGGGGGAAGCGGAAGTTCCCCTGTATCCCCGTGTAGTCGTTGCTCGAACCACTTGCAAGTACGAACAACGATGACCTCAGATAAATATTTGCCCATGCCATGTTTCAGAAAGTAGTGCTTCAGAATCAGAGCTCCATTTTCCTCCCCATACGCTTGCTTAGCTTGCAGCTTCCCATGACAAATGACCCTCACTACGGGAAAAATGGCCTCTTGCAACTCCAAAATTGTGTTGCGTAAAGTCTTAAAAGAGTTGCAAGATCCTAGCGCAACACTTTTACTAGGGTTGCATATAGTGGGGGTTGCAAAAAGAAAAGGCAACTCATATTTTATTTTTCGCAACCAAAATAAAATGGGTTGCATATCCTTACCTTTTATGCAAGACCACTTTATGCAACACATTTCCAAATTTTCCTAACACATTCTAGGAACATAGGCTACAGCTTTACAAGTTTTTGTAACATTTAAATTTTATCTATGACGAGTTCACATCGTCACAAATGACCCAAGTGTGATAATTTTGTTCGTAACAAATACTAATATTTGCTGGACAACATTGTCGTGGACAAAAATCTTTTTTCGTGACGAGTTAGTGCCAACACGAAACAACAATTGTGACATGTTTAATTGTCACAAAAATTTATCATTTGTGACCATAATTTTATCAAAAACACACTTTTCGAAATTCACCGAATGATCCAGTAGTCAGATTGGTTGTCACTGAAGTAAGTATTTATGACGAATTATATTGTCATGTATGATCCATGGGCTTGGTTGGTGACAATTATGGTCGTCACCCAAATGTCTCATTGGTGATGCATTGAGTTATCATCGATAATTTTCTTTTGTGATAATTAATGAAATTGTCGCCCTTGCTTCTTTTTGTGATAAGTGTTGATGACACGAATATATATCAATCGTGATGGTAGCTTACACATAAATTCATATTGTGACAATATTATTGTCATGAAAGTGACATCTTGTAACATTTATTTGGTTATAAATAAGTTCTTATTCCAGGCGTTACAACAATCATGCTACGAACAATACTAAGATAATACTCCAAAATAATCAATTTGATGCAAAATACAACTCAATTTTAAATAGTGTTGCGATCCCGGTGTTGCAAGAAGTCATATTTTCCGTAGTGATAGGAAGTGGCCACTATGAAAAAGGATGGCAAGTTGGGACTATGGAGCTTTTATTTATATTTCCGTTCATATATGCATATGCTAGCTTAGCTCAAACTAGACACAGTTTCGAGTGAGCAACCTAACACACGAGAACTACTTCCGGAGCAGGAAAATAGCAATGCATCATTAAATATTTTTTTTTGGTAAGTTGTTTTACCATTGAAGCTCACTCTTGGCTTTAACTAGCACAAGAGATCGAAAAAAACACACAGGAAAACCGCCCACAATAGTCCCTTACAAGGAAAATACCAAACAAAAACAGAACTTCCTACACTGTTAAGAAACTACAGCAAGTAACAGTTTTGCTCAAGAGGAGTTGAAAATCAGGGCGTGCCACTGTGTACAGCCTGATATCCTCCCTGATCTGCTCTGCCAAGACACCAGCAGCATACTGCTGACATTCTTAACTACTATGTTCTCCCTGATTCACAAGTCATAACCAGAATCTCTTTTACGTAGAACTACGCCTGACCGGAGATCGAGCAATACAAAGGTGAACTAAACGATATTTATATGAATTAAAGCTTTTAGACGAAAGAGCATTAGTTTTGGCATAAATGCACACTGAATCAGATATCTACCCAAACTCGAATGGGTCAATACAGGCAAATCCCACATTGATTGGAGCAATATAAAGGTGAAATACACGATATTTAGAGGAATGAAAGCTTTTATACGAAAGAGCATTAGTTCTGGCATAAATGCACACTGAATCAGATATCTACCCAAACTCGAATGGGTCAGCACATGCAAATCACACATTGATCGGATTTGGATCGGGTTCGGGCAAACTTCACAAGTTTAATTAGTTATCGGGCATGAACAGAGTATCGATATTCTATTATCCGCCCTAAACCTGCCTGATACTCCAATACCCAACTACCCCATCGGCATCTCGACTTCTCAAATTACATTCTCACTTTTCTAGCCCATCCTATAATCCCCTCAACTCCATGTTTTTTTTATACCCAATCCTCCTCCATTCTTATATCCTATGACGGTTTTCCTAATTCCTGATGGCACTCTAAAAGAGATTCAAAGCATGATTTCAAACTTTTGGTGGGCACAAAAGGGCAAGGAAACCAAGATCCACTGGCTGCACTGGGATGACCTTTGTGAGTCTAAGGAAGAGGGAGGTTTGGGGTTTAGAAACTTAAGAGACTTCAACCTAGCTATGTTGGGGAAACAGTTTTGGAGGTTACTGGAAAGGCCTGAGTCCTTAATGGCAAAAACTCTCAAGGCAAGATACTTTCCCAAAGCTGACATTCTTGATGGCAAAGAGGGTACAAACCTAGCTATATTTGGAAAAGCATCATGGCTGCTAAAAAAAGAATGGCGGAAGGCTTTTGTTGGAGAGTGGGTAATGGGGAGTCCATTAAAGCTTGGGATGATGCTTGGATTTCACGATAGAGTTTCTATCATGCTGATCCCCAATCATCTGGGATGGATTCAAGTGAAAGAGTTTGTGACTTTGTGGATCATGAAAGGGCCGGATGGGATTTAACCAGATCGAGAGAGAACTTTTCAAAGAGAGAATGTGAGCTTATTTCAAAAATCCCTCCCTATTTCCTCTAGGGAAGGATAGAATTATCTGGATGGATACTGAAGATGGAACCTACTCAGTTAACTCAGCCTAATTCAGATTAAGAGAGCAGTGTCCTAAACAACATAATCTGTATGTGTCGTCTAAAGAGAATTCTGAGTTCTGGAAGCTACTATGGAAATTCAATGTCCCACCCAAGATTCGTATTTTCCTATGGAAGGCAGGAAGGAATATCTTACCGGTTTGATGTAATCTGGCAAATTGGATTGAAGATATCAGCCTGGAGTGTCCCTTTTGTGGACTTCCTGAGAATCAGATTCATGGTTGCGGGAGTGTAACTGGATCAGGAACAGATGGCAGGGATGGGAAGGAGAAGAAGTGTATGAGATAGGGGAAGGAAAATCGTGCCTTGAATGGTTTAAAGAGGTTTGGAAAAATTTCGATCAACAACAAATACAGGAATTTGGGGCGGTGCTGTGGTACCTGTGGAAAGAGCGCTGCAACCACCAGAACAACAATCACATGATCCTGAAGAAGAGATAATCCCACGGGCTTTGGGTTGGCTTGAATCCTTTCTGGAGGCGAACAATGACCAGAATCATCACCGTCGTCCATGCAGAAGAAGATCCGATTCAGAGTGCTGGAAAAGGCCGCCGAAAGGGGTGTTTAAGCTCAACTCCGATGCTGGGCTCCTTCATCAATCTGGAATTGGCTTGGGGGCCATTATTCATGATTGGAGTGGTGATTTTAGGGGAGCCATTGCGATGAAAGAAGAAGGGAGATGCAGACCGATCGAGGCTGAAGCAAAAGCGGTGTTGATGGCGCTAAGGGAAGCTAACATACGAGAATTGGGCCCCCTGATTGTGGAATCGGATTGCCAGGTTCTTATTAGAAAATTGAATGAAGGGGAAGAAGATTGGACGGAGTTGGGAGTTTGGTGTCAAGAGATTCGAAGTGCAGCTGAGGTTAATTCGAGGATGTCTGGTGTTCAGGTGAAATGGATTTTCGCATCTCGCTCTGCGAATGGGGTTGCTCACTGCTTGCCCACTCGGTTGGGGTTTGGAACAACCAGATTGTTTGGGTGGATGAACCACCAATTTCTCTGCTTTACTTGTTGGAGGCCGATTTGGGCCGGGCTTCAGTTGGCCCAAATTGATCTTTTAATAATATGAATACAGATTTCCATAAAAAAAAAACTCCACCCGTCATTAAATGATATTTTTTCTCAAAATCAAAATTTTTTACCATTTATGGAAAAACGACAAATGGCATTAAGAGTTTACGAGAATTTCAGTGAAAAATAATTATAACAGAGTACTTTTTCTTGTCTTTTTAGTTTCTTTCAAGCTCCGTTACTCTGCTTGATTAGGATGTTGTTGGAGCTGTGTAAAGTTCTTGGAGTTTTACAAGGTGGTAGGTGACTTGGAATAATATAATGATTAGGTATATAACATATTCATGGGTATACGGATATCCATCAAATATCCGCAATATGGACATGGTAAGAGATATGATATACATTCTATCATATGATTAATGTAGTCAAAATCCCAATTTTAATCTTAAAATTTTATGATTTTACCTGTGTGTTCCAATCCTGATTTTAATATAAAATCTTTGAACCTTGAAATATCATAAAATCCCGATTAAAATCTTTAAAATCAAGGTTCATTACAATTAAAGCAAAATTAGGTTGGGTTGGGTTTTGCCACGAATCAGGTTAAGTCCTTTCATCGAATCTGACTCAACATCAAGCAAATCCCAACCCAACAACTAGACAACCACACATCGCTTTTGTTCTAGTCTGCATCTCTTCCTCTCCTGAAACCGACCTACTTCCTCACGATTCATCTATTCCTCTCATGCAGTCGAATTCCTTCCATCGTGATATCCGTCTCATCTCTCCCTCTGCTACAATCCGGCCCCACACTCATCCCCATTCATTCATATATTATCTTCGCTTTTGTTCTAATAATGAGGGTGATGATGATGAAGTTGAGGATGTAGATGTTAATATTGATCCTACCGATTTCATGTGATATTTTACTCTTAACTATTTACTCTAAGTGATTCTTATGAGGTTTGACGTTGTTTATTTGTGTGTTTTTCATGTACAAAAACAAACATACAAGGTTCTTTATATTTATTCAGCATACAAACCTATGTTGAGAAGTAATTAAGTGATATGTGGTTAATTATTTTCCAGGATATGCATTATTATTACTATATTGTGTTATAAATGTTAATTATAATATGAACCTTAAAATCTTATCATTTTCAGATTTTAATCTATAATTTCGATTTTATCTCAGTTTTCGATTTTACGTATAATTTGTAAGCTAAATTATGCTTAATGATAACACTTGATGTAACGTATTTTGTAGGAGTGATAAATGATAATAATCAATAAAGGTAATGTACAAACTTGATAATGCGAATCAAACCATAACAACCATTTAATAATAAAGTTCTTTGCGAGGGGAATAAGTAACTTATAAGCTCAAAGTAACTTTTGAGATGTTGTTTCACAATGCTAATGTGACCTGATATTAATTGTGGAGTGACTATAAAAATATATTTGCTTTACATCCTCTTTCTCAATGAAATCGAAAGAAGGGAGAAAATATTTTTAGTAAAAAGCATTTTTCAACAAAATCAAAACACATAGGCTAGTCATATTTGGCAGTAGCTATGGTCATTGTGGTTGTCTTTCTCTTTTCCATAGAAACATTTGCGTCGGCGCCCGGAACACTCGATAGCGATCTGGATCTTGGCAAGCCCTATCCAATACCAGACATAACAAATCCATTTTTTTTACGAATCTAGAACAAATTGCAATAAAGGAGAATAACAAGAATCATCCGAAATCTGAATCATTAAGTCTCGTCAGTGTAGACAAGGTTTATAATTATCGTGTAATGGATTATTATACTTACTATCGCCTTTATATAACTTGCTCTAACCAATATGGCCAAGCCAAGTACAATACTCTCATTTTCTATGAAAACTCATGAGGAATTCCTACATTTGTAATATCTGTTAAATCCTTTAATAAGGTTTAGAGATCCTAGCTTAACCATGTGCATGTAGAGTTAATTACATGTTTTTTTTTTGTGAATATGTTCTTGACACGCCAAAACACAACACCAAACTGCGACCAAGTGTAATCGCAGTCCGGGAATGCAGTAACAGGCAAGTTTAATTATCAACCCGGGGTCTAGATCTACTGCTTACTCCGTGATTCTCTATTATCTAGCAAACTAATTCGAGTGATTGTTGTTTAAAGCAAAAGCAGTAAGAAAGCAGGAAATGGTTCGGTTTTCAAAAGCAGGTAAGAGTCACTCGGGATTGAGTCCCCCTAGCCCCTTAGTTAGGTTCAATTGCAATTCCCTAGGTTGATTTACTGTTGATTAGACTGCGGAAGATCCGACAGTAGCTTGGAATCTCTTAAGCTGACCAAGCCCTCTCAGTCTAACTACCCGGCAGACGACTAGTCTTCACCGGGATAGAAAGCTGAGGCTGTGAACACAGAACTCCACTACTGGCGTCAAGAACACCAGTACAAAGCAGTAAACTGGCGAACGTGGTGATGGAGCCCGGAGGTCGAGTGTCTAGCCACTCCTTGGCCTGCCCCTCAAGAGTGAAAGGGAAGTACCGCAGCTGGATGGCATCTGCTGGGACCCCGTTGATCTTGATTCCATCGATGAGCTCGTGGAATCGCCTGAGGTGTGATCGAGGGCACTCTCCCTCCTTACCACGGAACACTACTGAACCGCGCAGCATGGTGATCACGGAGGTGCTCACCTCAAAGTTGTTGGCTGGGACCTGAGGGTGTTGAATAGGTGACCTCACGTCCGCAGCCCTAGCGGTCCAGTAGGATCCCATGGTCTGCTCCCCGGGGATCAGATCGTTGTTCTGCGGATCCCCCATCTCGCCTTCCTCTTCTTCTTCTCCTAACTGCAGCTGTGACAGCGCCTCCTCCGCAGCCAGTCGCGCCTTTAGAGCCCGCTTGAAGTTCCTACAAGTTCGTTCAAGCTCCTGGTCTAATGGTAGTAGATCTCCCGACTGGCTACGGGTCATGCACTACCTGCACACAATCAGTAGAAGCAACTCGTGAAGGCACACAGGTGGAAGAGATAAAATGCAGTAAATAAAAGCTAGAGTAACAAATAATCACGTTTCCCCAATAACCTAGAGGGGTCCCCGGCAACGGCGCCAAAAACTTGACACGCCAAAACACAACACCAAACTGCGACCAAGTGTAATCGCAGTCCGGGAATGCAGTAACAGGCAAGTTTAATTATCAACCCGGGGTCTAGATCTACTGCTTACTCCGTGATTCTCTATTATCTAGCAAACTAATTCGAGTGATTGTTGTTTAAAGCAAAAGCAGTAAGAAAGCAGGAAATGGTTCGGTTTTCAAAAGCAGGTAAGAGTCACTCGGGATTGAGTCCCCCTAGCCCCTTAGTTAGGTTCAATTGCAATTCCCTAGGTTGATTTACTGTTGATTAGACTGCGGAAGATCCGACAGTAGCTTGGAATATCTTAAGCTGACCAAGCCCTCTCAGTCTAACTACCCGGCAGACGACTAGTCTTCACCGGGATAGAAAGCTGAGGCTGTGAACACAGAACTCCACTACTGGCGTCAAGAACACCAGTACAAAGCAGTAAACTGGCTAACTCTCGTATAGCCAATCTCCTACTATCGAATGAAGAGGCTCTAACAACCTAATCAGATTCTATCTATCTCAGGTTGAAGCAGAAATTGAGACAAGCTGATCAGACTCAAATCAATTCATGAAACATGCGTCATTCGATTAAAATCAAACAATAATATCATCCCAAGTCATTACAATCAAATCCCTAACACAAGGAACTAGGGTTCTTCATACCCAAGTGAGAGAAGGGTTCTACTCCATAGAGAGAGAAGAGAAAACAAGAATCGGATTAGTCATACTCATAACGATGAGGATAATCTGCTCCGGGACGATGATGTTCACTCCTATGACGATCTCCAGGCTCGATTCGATGAAATCCAGCTCCAAGACGGCTTCTAGGATGAGCTCTTCGCACTTTCTCTCTCTAGGGCTCTGTTTTTGCTCTGAAAACACGATTCCCCCACTTTTGGCTCGGATTAGGCATTAAAACCGGTTTCCCCGAGGTGCACGGGCAGGTGCACGGCCGTGCACATCACCATTCTGGCCGTGCACCATGAAACGCACCGTATCACTAAAGCTCGAACTCAGCCATCTTGCACGGCCAGGCGCACGGCCGTGCAAGCCTGGATTGTGCCCGTGCATGGCCTCGGCGTGAGGCGCACGGCCAAATGGCTC